TAATTTCAGCCACTTATTTTTCATATATACTGATTTTTTGGATTTAGATTTGCAATTTCTCTATAATAAATTCATATTTTTTAATTTAAATTTTATTCAATTTTCCTACTATGCAAAAAGCTAGGAACAGAGAAGCTTTCTTGACTCAGGTTGATAATTTTTAAGTGTTTAATTTTTGTGTGAACATTATTTTCCAGCGCAAGTATTTGTTACATTTCTAAACAATCTGTTCAGTCGGAATATATATTCCCATCCAGCCTACTCTTACAGACTTTTTGATATCGTTTTGTTTTTGGTCTGACTGGAATTGGTTTCCTTTCAATGATTTCCGATCTAAAGTTTTCTCATTCCACCTATCATCCTTCGATGTCATTAGGCTCTATTTCAGTCTTGCGATTATCTACCGTTGTGCAAAATCTTTTAAGTGACAACACAATATTAAATGCCAATCTAATTCCAGTGACAATAACTTTTAACTGAAGCGAAGCAAATATTGGCGGCATTTGATACTACCTTACATAGCAATCTAAAGTATTAGGAAATAACTAAATCTTCTACAGTATCATGTTAAATGTTTAATATCAATACTATTTTTTAAATTACAAAACAAAAAAAATATTTCAATTACATTTAATTTAGTTTTAACTTCCTCCTTTAAAATTTGTCCACATTGAGTTGGAGGTATTGCCGGTTCACGGACGATATATCGATATAATTTGAACTATGTATTTTTATATATAATTAAATATTAACATTTCCCTCGACTATCGATAGCCATTAAGCCAAAATTTACTTATTGTTATATTGCTTAACTGATTGTAAAAAATAGATAATACAAATAAAGAAGGGAGAAGAAAAGATATATTTTATTGCTCCACTTCCTCCTAAATCCTTTTAATATAGGTGATTTATTATGATTGTCACAAATATTCTTAAATAAAAACCCTCATCATTTAAAGTAGAGATCCTGTTTTACCTAATTATCCTGATAAATCTAGTTAATAAATTAGGGTTACTCCTTTTGCCCTTTTCTTCTGTGCCGCCATTGTGAAACTTCAGTGTGTGGGTCTTTACATTTGATTATTAACGAAGGTTGTCAACTAAAAAATCTGTTTAATGGTGTTGTTGAGAAAATTAAGCACAGAGTTGCATGATAAATTGTTCAAGTTCTCTTAAGGAATGAGGATGTGGCAGGTTTTATTAGCAGAAAAATATCGGATTTACATTAATGACTGTTTAACTTGCATGTTCGTTTGTTTTGTCTTGTCTTGTCATTGAAATGAAGTGGATTTTAAAGCTCAAAGCAAGTTTTGACTTATGTGATTAATTCATTAAAAAAGTGAGCGATAACGAGAGAAAAATATAGTCTGACTCATCTCGTCCAAATTTAAAATGCCTGAAATACAGGGGCTGCTAGTGAGGAAACAAAATTTGCATAATTATTCTCGAATTAACAGGTTTGTTGTTTCGTCATGGTTAATTATTTCTAAATTAATTTATGTATAAAATAATATGGTGACACTAGACATGTTCTCCTTTTAGATTACTGGCACTTATCTTTACTTTCTACTTCTTATTTCAACTAAATAAATAATCCTCCTCGTTTTGGTTTAGAATTTTCTATTTTTGAATATTGGAGAATTTGTCGCTTTATTGTCGTCAATTTGTCGTTGAAAAAAAAAAACTGTTCGCCCTTTTAATGCTAATTCTGATGGAAAGTTAGCACTACCGATCGCGAAAATGAGCATAAATTGAATTTTTTATATGGATAATTTGCCTCTTTTTGTCGTAAATTTTTTGTGGAAAAACATTCGTCGCTTATCCCCTTTTTGAAAAAACCCCAATTAATGCTAATTTTGATGGAAAGTTAACATTACGAATTACGAAAATGAGCATGAGTGACATTTTTTTATATGGATAATTTGTCGCATTTCATCATAAATTTTTTTAAAAAAAATGTCGCTCATCCCTTTTTTGAAATAAACCTTAGCTAATGCTAATTTTGCGGGAAAGTTAACAGTACCAATTACGAAAATGAACAAAAATGTATTTTTTTTATACGGATAATTTGTCGCTTTTCTTGTGAAAAAAAACATGTGTCGCTCATTTTCAGTGGCTAATTGTTTGCACGAATCAAACTTCATTTATCGGACTAATTAACTTTAATGTTCCTGTTTTAAACTGCTCCTACATTTCTACTGTCTTAAACATTATAAAGAAAAATAACTACATAATATCAATGCTTATATTTAACACATAATATCTGCTGTAACTGTTAATGTTTTTCCAATATATACCATGGCAATTTATTGTATTGTAACAACACTTTCTTGTAATATGTAAGTTTTCTTTTACCAACACATGTAATTGGCCTGAGGATGGCCATAATAGCCGAAACTATTCGCTTCACTTCTTAAAAATATATCAATAATTTTGTTCGTATATTTAAAAAATTCTTTCACCCAAGTATACCCCACAGCAAATTGTATTTTTAAGATATATTACTTTCTCTTCTCGGTAAATTTCTAGCCTACTACGATATAAAATAAACAGCAACATAGACAATTTCGGACAGCACCTTGACAGCACAAAGTCTCCTACTAGATAGTTATTATTACAAACGACGAACAACTACTAGACTAATTTTGTTTACAAAAATCTAATTGCAAATATTCACGGAGTTATCCACGTAGTTGTCAAATTATTATGAGAGAGCATGGGAGAGTCTTGTTTGTGGTTATTATGTAGAAGGTAGTATATTTGTATTCTTAATGCCTGCAGTTATTATCAGGTTAATGTATTTTTCTCGTTGCAACTATCGTAGTTAAAGGCGATTTCCAGGAAAGTACGCAATTAATTTTGCAGTGTAAAAGGTGTGTAAAGCAAGCGTCGTAGACGTAAGTACTGATTCATTCATAAAACACAAGCAAGCTCCTCAGATAAACAAACTTGCACAAACTACACCCACTCAAATTTCTAATGAGACAGCCTATGCGACAACTCTATCTGCTTAATATAAAACACAATCTGAATGATTGAAATAAATAAAGGCTTAATTATGAAGTAGCTTTTCGTCGTTGATCATTACCTTCAAATACCTGTAGAGCTAGTAATACTTTGGAATTATTTCTAATAATACAAGATCACTAACTTTGAAGATCAAGATGTATTGGGATCTGGGTTCTAAATCCTATTCTGTTGTCGACCACAAGGAACCATGCTAAACCTTTTTTGTTGTAAATATTTTCTGGATTTTTAGCTGTCAGCTAGTGATGAGTGGACTGTATTTTGTTCGTGATAATGGGATGGTGGTGATATGATATTGATTTCTTAATCAGGAACGTATTATTTGGCCGATGATTGAATACAATTTTTTGTTTGTTTTACGTTTTCTATTAACACAAATAAATTACTTTTGATAACACACTTACCTGTTTACAAATGTTGAACTGAAGTTGTGAGTTGGATTATAAATTTTTATAAATACAAGTCGTGATTGATTTTTAAGAATGTTTGTTGATTTTAAGAAATCTATGTATTTAGCAAGTGAAGTGAATTTTAGATTTTACTTTATACAAAAAACCAACTATGCAATTATTTTACATACCGGCACCTATCTATTAGCTTAGTATTCCCAAATTTCAAATGATTTAAGACATTTATTTCGAGCAGCGCAATGTAGAAAATTTGAACTGTAGCTAATTTAGATTCTAGTCGTTAGACGGAGATAAAACAAAGATATAATATAGATGGGTGGCATGATCTTTTACAAACTTTACCACATAATAAAATCCGTCTTTGATAAGACAAGCGGCTCAAGAAATGCATTTCAATTTGTCAGTTAAAAAATGACTTATTTTTGAACGGGATGTTTAATATGACGCATGACGTCGATAAAAGATATATAGATACTTCAATAATTGTTTAGTATTAGAGAATCTCGTATATTACTTTCATTAAATAAAGCAGTTTTTCATATTTTGAAATATAAAGTAACATTTTTTGTAATCGCAGCAAGTGTCAAAATGATCTACTTTACGAACCAATTGCATAATGTTGAACATTATGAAACAATATGGACTTAGTATGCATAAATGCATCTCTCATATGTACCATTGCTGTATAGAGGTATTTGAAGATTTGAGAACAAGCTTGACCGCCGTCGGGCCCGAACTAGCACATAACATTTCTGTCTAGGAATCTTGACAGTCAATGTCGTAAAGGTCTAGAAGGAAGGACATATGTCTAGCATACAAGGATGTCAGGGTTTGATTCCCGGCTGCGACATGCTTTTTTTCAAATCTCCAAGTATTTGTTTTCAATTTTGAGGTTCGGGGATGGTCTTGATAATTAGTAGGAATTCTTGAGATTTGGTTCCGAATTTTAAAATTATTTTCACTATGAAACCGGTTACAAAAAAATCAGTATGTCACCAGTTGTGAAAAGAAAAGAAAAACCTTTTTAGGTTTTAAAATCAATACATACATTTTTATTAAAAGTTTATACCAAAAAAGGGCAGGTTGACTTATAAAAATAGAATTTAGTTAAACTTACAACCTAGTAATTAATGTTGTTCAGATCCTTATTTTCCATTCTAAATCGGCACACTACAAGTCGTTGAGAATAAATTATTATGATTTTCTATTTGTCAATAAAAAGAATTTAGTTATCAATATGCAACTAACAATACAAGAAATTAATATTGGTTCCTAAATGTCAGTAATTTTTTACCATAATTTTATAAATAATCTAGTCAAAATTAAAAAAAAAATTGTAATACGTTACGAAATGCCGTTGTAAGTAACTTGCTCGTCTCGCAATTATTCACTCATTACATAAAATAAGTCATTTCGTGACTGGTTGCATACATAGCTATTAAAAGTACTAACATTTCTTAATTGCATAAAAAATAAAGTAGTATTGTTTATTTGCCTACGCAAGGTTGATTTACTAATACATACATTTTTAATGCCTTTTACTGAATGTTTGTTTTTTTTTAGACATAGAATTGACACCCAGAGTACGAGTTCGTTCGAATTCAGTGGAATCTTGGGTTGGAGCTTTGACAGACCGAAGGAAGACCAAAGATGAATCGAGTAAAAAGGGAGGTATGTAAATCTTTATTTATTTTTTTGTTGATACTTTAATTAAAACAACAAAAGTTAAATAAATTATTTCTCGCTCACTATGTCATTTTTTTGAATTTTCACCGGTATTTAGTTTAACAAGTTGAGGACGGGAGTGAAGAAAAAAGTCTAAGGACGCGAACTTTTTTAACTTTCATATTACTTGAATAAAGTGTAATTTATATATTTTATGTTTCAACTAAATTTTTTTAAATATTTTGTCAACTATTTAATTTTTTTCTGGCTTAACGTTGATGCCTCCCCGCAGAATTTGTCTCCTATTTTCAAACTTTTCTAATGCTATGTTTGTAGCATTATAACGAGGCATACTATGAAACCTTGCTAATTTTCTGACTGTGGCAAGTGTCTAAAAATTGACAAGCAGTGAAGCATGCGTTAAATGCTACACCGTACTCAACGTGTTAAATACTGTAATTGTCGTTGTAATTTTAAATATTACCAAACCTCTTTTAAATTTGTAGATTAATTGGTCTTCTGTAGCTAATCTTTAAAGACTTTCTCAGATATACACAAGTTTTAGTTGCAGATTCGATGCACCTTTTTCAGCAACTAAACCAAATAATTTCTTTAGGTGATTTATACTTGTTGCATAAAAATTAAGATCGATCTTGTTAATTCAAATAATGGTTATGTGGTAATGAAAAGTGCCCCTTAGGTTCTAACATAAGTAATTGTTGCTAGGGGTTCTTGATCTTCAATGATCCGAAGTATTTGCCTGACTAATCGCATTAGTGTTTGGTCGGTTAAACTCTAACTATCGTTATATAACTTTTTAAAAAATGATTTGCCTTACTTGTTATTCATTTTCGGCGTTTAAACTTTTTTATTAATTAATAATGATTCAAAAAGTTTTTGTTTGCCTCACCTTAAACATTTGGAGATAAACATTCCTGGACAGATATGGGACGCCATAACACGATATTCAAACCGAAAGAGTCGTCAGCGGCATGCTAAAATTTCAAATTATTTCAGGGTATAAACAAAATATGGTCAGAGTTCAGCTTGGAGGCCGTACCCTAATCCAAAATGTTTAAAATAAACCATTCACACAATAATATTTCTCTTTATGATTCAAATAAAAAGTAATTCATTTGAAATTTTAGGAAAATCATTACATGATTTTTCCTGGCTATTTTGTAGCTCGTCTTTCAAAAAATCAAACTACCGATATTATAAAAACTAACACTAGAAAATAGTCCAAAAATAAAAATAAAAACACCACTAAATAACAGTAAAATATTAGATTTAAAAAAAAAACCAATGTTCGAATCAATAGAATGTTTTGTCAACTCGCTTTTCGTTCTGTGACGTCACTCCGTTCTTAGAACGGGGCTGAGGCCACCGTAGTGTCAACGAACCGCGGGATGAGCCGATGTCTGTTCTGACGAAAGTGTCATAGGCATCGATTGTTGACTAGAATGTTCGAGAACGCCACATTTGTATATAAATAGACTGCTATGACGTTTAAGTTTAGTTCTAGCTGAGATATAATTCTGTTCAAATAAATATTGCATCAGAAATTTAAATAAAACATTTGTCAGAACCCCTAGCAACATATTGTTGCATATATGACTGACTTGACCCGGAAGGTTTAATATTCTGCAAATGGTGCTAAAACTGTTTCCCAAAACTTATAAAACATGTGTTATTTAATTTTGATATAGGCTTACAAGATTTTGAAACACAACTACTACTTTTGTTATTTTGTGCAATTTATAAACCCACTAAACGCGTATGAACACTTGCCAGCTTCAAACGCTTCTTTTTCATTTTTTCTATTAATTTCTTCCTAGAATCAGAAGTTATTCCAGTACTTAGCCGATCGCCTTCGAATCCCTCATACGGAGATCTACCACCCTTAATTCCTGAATCCGTAGAGCGCATCCACCTAACTCCTGCTGTCTCTATTACTCCTCCTGCCTCTTCAAATAAGGCGATTCGGCCCACGCAATTGGATCTAGAGGGAGCTGCTAAATCATCAAAGTACTTATTACCACCGAATGCGCTTATGGAGTCACCGCTCAGGCGATCTGTTTCACCATATTGTGAGTCAAATAATGGGTTTTAGGACTGGTGTGCGACGTTGCTTTCTAACACCTGCTTTATATTAACAAATATTTTAACATTTTTGAATACTCGTCCGACAACGAAATTATATATTGAAGTATAGATCTAGGATATAGAGTGTCTGATTTTGAACGCTTTCCAATACGCTTTGTTAATGTCAAAGAAAGTTGGCATAAGCGCGAGCAGGAAACGAATTAATCAACGTTGCCAGTTTAAACGGCCCGGCACACAACGAGAGATATCCTCACGCGGTCTGGCCGCATATTCGGAAATCGCCGACACAGGCACTCGGAACAGTTCGATGCAGCGAATGGCAGATTCGTAAAATCTCGACGTGTTAGAACCAATACGTCGTCGATTTATGAAATAAGTTTGTTTATTAGACATCAACCATTAGAAACTTTTTTCTATTAACTATTCAAGTCTCTATGCAGATTATTTTAATTTATTTATTTTAATTTATTGTTGGTGATTTTAAATTATTAAAATTTGTAATAATAATAGCCTTTATTGCTCAGCAGATATAAATCCCTTTACAGAGCAACCCAAAAAAATCATTAATAATATAGTAAAGGTGACAAATATATATGGATATTATGAAAAACAGTGAATTCAAAATAAATATAATAGATAAAAAATATAACAAAAAAATATAACCTAATACACGCTATAAAGAGAAAATAATATAATTAGGTTACAAAAAGAAAATAAATTTAAGGTAAGTTTTTTTTTTTGTTTTAGTTTAGCGACATTTCTCGTGTCTGCATTATTTCACTGTTAGCTAGAGTTTAGCGACATTTCTCGTGTCTGCATTATTTCACTGTTAGCTAGAGTTTAGCGACATTTCTCGTGTCTGCATTATTTCACTGTTAGCTAGAGTTTATGTGTGATTTTTATAGGTGTTTTGGGTATTTAGTCGAGAGTTTCAATTAAGAGTAGAGAGTACCTTGTTATCTAGTCTACATACAACTTTCAAATAGAGTATTCTGTAAATGGAAACGAACTAATAGTATACGAAAAAGAGTAACCCTACAATTCGTTGTTCCCAGAAAGAGGAAAGAAACGCAATGTGAATTGAATAAAATAAATAAATAAATACTAAAGTAAAAAGAGTACCTCATTCGTTGGAGGCGTGTGTTGAAAATAATGTGGGATTAGGAAGTGTTGCGGGTACAGGGTTTGGTGTCTCTCCGTACATTTACATTTAACTTATTCCCAAGACTGTAGTGAACTGCTTACCAGAAAGGTGCCGAGTTTCTTCGTCGCTGTATAAAATAAAAAGCCGGCTACAATTAACACCATTTAATGAAATTCTTCTGTTACATCACTAACTAATATACACTATTTACATCTCTAGTGTAGCACTAACTTAGCAACGTTTATCACACTTTGCCTACATTTCAGTGTTTTTTAAATCATTTTTTTATAAATTAAACATGGCGGCATGACGCCCGATAAGCCACATTTTTACAACAACGGCAAAGCAGGTCATGGGCCATCGAGGGAGAGATCTCGTCTGTGCATCAGCGAAGAAGATTGGCGGACTAAAAGCGTCCGTTGCTTTCATGTCATGTCCAATCGTTGAAAGTAGGTAAATATCTACGTGTATGTAACGTAGGTTCGCTAATGACCTTAAGAAGTTCAAACGTGCGTTAGGGTTAGTTTTGAGATTTTTGTGCCCAGATACAAATTGTTAAATAGACCTTTTCATCACAATTTTTTTTTTGTTCACAAGGGAATATTCTCTAATTAGGTTCTTTGGGTTTGTCACTACCGATGTTGTAAATCCAATAGAAGGGTCAGGTGCAAAAAGTATTTGGTTGGCTGTCTTCGTGGCAAGTGAATCGGCTAGTGAATCAGCAAGACCTTTCGATGTGGCGTGACCTTTGATCCATCTTAAGTTGACCACATTATTGATGGAAGCTTCGTGACATTCTAGTACTAACCCTGAATAAATTCGTGGTCTGTCCAGGGTGAGTAGTGCTTGTCTGTTATCTGTATAAGTGAGCATGTTTCTTCCAGTGATATTATTTCTGGTGATTTATTTGGCTGCTATGAGAATCCCCGTGAGCTTGGTTTGAACTACACTGACACTACTGTTTTCAGTCCATTTTAAGTTTAGGTTTAAGGACCACATCCTGAGCCTTGTTTTGTTTTAGAACCGTCGGTGCAGATAAGAATCGTACTTACCACTTCCGGTTCTTCTATTTATTCTGTTATAACTTTATATGGCTTATTGAAGATATATCTCGGTGCTTGAAGCAGTGGGAGGGTATCGAACGCCTCCTGCCAAAAGCGATGTCTCGCCTCACCAAATCCTACATCAGGTTCTATTCCAACCGAGTGGAGGCATCTCATTGTCATCAGAGCAATCTACTTGTTGTAAATATGAAGGGGAGTGAGATACTAAGAATGACTTCCAAGGCTGTGTCGGTGTCGTTTTCATGGCTCCTGTTTTAATGAAACATGCTGTTCTTTGAATTTGTTCTAGTTTGCGAATAGCTGTCAATTTTTGGGTTTTTGGTACCCATACATGTTAGCATAGGTCTTATGATGGCCGTGTAACTCCATGCGACGACTCTGGGGAAAAACCCCTTACGGTTCAGTTTTCTAAGTTGCATGTTAACTTGCTGTCAAAGGTGAGACCTAGGTACTTTACATCTGTTGCAAAGTTTAGCTTTGCGTTTAGGAGTTCTGGTGATTTTAATTCTTTTTGAGATTGATAGAATGTTCAGGTCATCTGCAGTCGAGGACCATGTTTCACAGTAGAGGTGATTGTACCCCTCCCTGTGGACATCCCCTCGCAACCAAGCCTCTTATATTTACATCTTCTACACTTATGTTAATTGCACACTGTTTTTCTCTTGTTGCGAACGTATATGACACTTCAATCACCTTTTCACAACTATGTGCTTACACAGAGTTAAAACAAGTGAAGCACCATTAACGAATTTTTCTAATGATTGATTTGTCTGCAGAGATAATATTGCTTTCCCAGCCATTGTTGATCAAAACAGTAAGAAACTTTTCAGTTACAGCTATTTCAACATGGCAGCTGCGTTTGCGCCCATCACATGATGAAAAGGCCTATTTAAATACCGTTGTAGTCCGATCTAAATTATGTTGAAGAAGTTTAACAGGAGGAAATAAATAAACAAATTAATGGAGTACTTTTCCAATAAAAGTTAATTTTAAAATTCAAAAATATGTAGATATACAACAATAATTTAAGATGTACCCATTTACTTTGTTCTAAAATAATTCACCTTCTTGAATTTGTGGGAATTTTCTTAATGATGTGCGCCTAAAACTATACATACCTATCGTAATAGTATCTAATTGTACATAACTTAATAAGTAACTCATACTTGTAAATCTCCGACGTATTGAGTCTTAACACGTCGTAATTTTACGAGTTTGTTATTTTCGGTACCGAACTCATCCAAGTCCGAGTAGCTAACGTGCCGACGATTTCAGAATATGCGGCCGGGCCGTTTAAACTGGCAACTTTGATATTATTCGTTTCCTGCTCGCGCTAATGCTATCTCTCTGTAGTTTTGACGTTGGTATTAACAAAGTTTATTGGCGAGAATGAAGACTTAAAAGACTAGTATCTAGTTAATTTTTATAAAATAGAACTGTAAGTGTTTTCTGCACAGATCTTTGTTTTAAGGATTCCAAATTAGTTTTTATAACTTTTTTTTTGTTAAGTCTTGAATTTTGTGCCTCATACGTGGCGGGTTATTGTGACATCTTTAGAGAATCCTACTTCCATAATAATATGTCCTGTCATCTAATGAATTCTCAAATGCGCATGTCAATCCAAGTGCTTCCTGTGTTTAATCACGAATTGAAATGGGCCAGGATGGGCCATTGTGCAATAGGCCATCAATGATCGCGTCACTGCGCTGTCATCCACACGATTGCCTGTTTTCATTTACTTTCTGTTCATTGTTTAAGATGGAACTTAATGCCGAGTTGGTTGCAGCTGCTGTTATTTGTGTGATTTGTGCATACAATCATCACATAAACAATGTTAATAACATTGTAAATTATTCAAGAACGGCTTCTAGTACCTACCTGTTAGCATATTTCATTAATACTACATGGACTACATACTTGTCCTGTACCTAGACATTAAGTTAGTTAGTTATTGGATAGATGAAGAACGTCAGGTCAGACATTTTTCTAGTTTTCTGAATTGTCAATCATTATTCATTATTAAAATATTTTCTGTGATTAGTGTTCATTCATTCACTAGTTAACAACCACTCAAATATAAACTGACAGATCGGAGATCGTGTCGACATACAAAAGCAACTCATCGATTTACTGCCCATCACGGCCAATCATCGACAAATAGACCCTTCACACGGTGGTCTGTGATCGTCAATGATGGCCGATTGTATATAGGAGCCATAATATTTGTGATTAAAAAAATAACTTAAAACTTGTATTAATTACGTATGGCTTCTGATAGGTTCTTCTTGTAAGTATCTTCCTAGCTTTGTTTCTCCGACTTGTATTAATATGGTTTCAAATGCCATGTCGCCACAGCGAACATAAAATATTTTAATAGGCCGATATCTATGACAAAGAGTCTAATTTGTGTATTAACTTTTCATTACTTCCTATCTCTTAACAAAAGTATGAATGAATAATGAGTCATTACATAAAAGTAAATACACTCGATATGTTAAAAAATGCAAATAAAGGTATTTACGATAGCGATTAGTAAGTGCGTTACAAATAAATGTTATCCTCTTGTATTCTAATATGAGTATTCGTAATATTCATCCGCTAAACATATCAATAACAAAAAAATAGATATTTTAGGGGTAAGTATGATTGTGGAACTGAGTGGCACACTAACTTTTTATCAATCACTAATTCAATGTTTATTATTAACCATATTTCTTTGCTGACTAATAATCTTATGCTAATACAGTTTTATTTATTTCTAAAAGTTTCCTAGTAG